AGAAAGAATTACTTCTAGGGATGTCAGGAAGACCTATGGATTTAAAAAGATGCCTGACTCTACTCACCTTTGAGTATGCCTAAATGGGGGTAAACCTTAAGGAGGGAGCGATGGAAGTATCCAAATTTGTGACCGTTTTCATTGAAACCTTCCCTGTGAGAATCTGGAAAGGAACCCTTCCTCTCTAAGCCCCAGGCTCATCTTTTTTCTTGCCAAGGTTGGACCCAGGAAAATAAAACCATAGAAAGACAAAGTTATATTTAAATTATTTTAAAAAGAAAGAAGATAGGAAGGAGTACCACTCTAACTTAACAAAGACTTAAGTATATCTTAAAGAGATGTTCTGTTTCAGCCACCACTAATAAAGAATGACTTTCATTCCCCTGTCAGTGACTCACCACCAGACTCCTTGGTAGTCTGTTTGAAGGAGTTGAGTCCTTTGAGACCCATCAGATAAGACAGACTAAGAAACAGAATCGCATTGGCTTGGTGTGCGTACATGAAAGGTGCCACAAAGATCAGAAGAAATTATCTGTATTTTTCCACTAAATAACTCTTTTCTTAGTTGCATCTTTAGAAATGAAATGAAAATAGCTTCTATACATGCTTTGTTCCCACTGAGAAATATTTTAATGATATCATAAGGTTTTAAGTATTTTACTCATTTTTTAGAAAATGTGATTTTTGTAGTTAAGAATGGAAACAATCAAATGAGTTGTCCTGGCTGTCTTTAGAACAATTATGGTTGCTGCAAACAGTCAGGTGCTTGTATTTTTGTTTTTTTTTCTATTTGCTCCTCATGTGTGCAGTTGTGGACAAGTTATGCTCTTTCAGGCTCCATTTTTGTCAACCTGTCCACTGAAAGAAATAACAGCCTCCTATGAGCAGAAACGAAGGTGTGGCTTTAAATGAGTTTGCAAGACCCAAGACACGTGTTTATTAGGGAAGGACTTACACAGATAAGAGTAAATAGCCACAGAGGTCTTCCTGTTCCAGAAGATGCAGTCTCTGCCCTTCTGATGCTCTCAGCAACCCAAGAAAGTGTGAACCCACAGTTCTACTACCTTAAAAGGGTCACATCTACACCTGAAACCACACCCAAAGTGTGTGGCCGCTACTATAAAAGCATACTGCCAATGATTATCTAGTCTAGCTGCACTGATCAACAACCAGCCTCAGCTCCTGCAGCATGCTCTGTGCTGGGTGGGTTGGTATCTTGGTCTTCAACTGTTGGATTCCACTTTGGCTCCACAAAGTGGGAAGACAATTGAGTCATGTGTTTCTCATGAGGCTTCCCTTTGAAAATTACTTTGGTTAATTTCACCATCACTACATTCTGTTCTGAAGTAAAAGGTGAACATAGCAGGCAATGGTTCCTGACTTTGTCTGCATTGCTTTAGAAAATTAACTCAGGGCTGACTTCATCCTGCTACTTTAGATGGACTGAAGCAGCCTTTAATAATCACATTTCCTATTAATAGCTTTACTGTGCTAGAGAAGCTAAATCAATATATAATTTAACGGCTTCTCTTGCCAAGGGCAATATCGATTCTGTTCTCTAATGATTTTGAAATGATATGCTGTTATGTAAATGCTGTCTATCCTAGGTGTCTTTACAAAGGTATATATGGATGTATTTCTTTTCTTCATTTTCTATATGAAAAATATTGCAACTATCAGATACTGAAAGATTTCTAAAGAATCCTGGTCCTGATGAATAGAGATGCTCCAGTGATAAATTGGAAACAGGTTTTATGGGCTATTATAGTTATTGTCTTGGGGTATAGAAAATAAAGTACTTACAATGTGTTCTAGTTTCATTTCTGTTACTGTGATGAAGTACCCTGACTAAAAGCAAAGTAGGGGAGGAAAGGTCTATTCTTACCTTAGAATCCAAGCTACAGCCCATTATTGCAAGAAATTCAAGACAGAAATCTCAGCAACTGGTCACATCCCACCCACAGTCAAGAGCAGAGAGAAACAACTACGTCCACACTACCTGCTTGCTTGCTTTCGGCTACCTTTCACTTCTGTTACATAGTTCACTACCCAGTCCATGACATGGTACAACCACATTGAAGATGGGTCTTTCCATCTTAATTAACAACCAAGACAATGCCCCACAGATATGCCCATGGTTCAACCTGATCTGGATGATTACTCCATTGAAAATATTCCTAGCTGTTTCTAGGTTGTATCCAGTTGATAGCTAAGGCTAACTAGCACATGATTGTAGAGGAATAGTAATGGCATTATGGGGTAATAAGAAATAAGATGTCAGCGGGTGATTTGGGATACTGAATAAGTTGATGTAGTGTCCCCTGGGCATAAAATCAGTGTATAGACGCTGACTCACTAAAATGGTTACTGCAACCATATAAACCTTCTTTACTTCTTTAGTAAAACAGTATCTGAGATGCTCTGTGGACTGGAAATATTATGTGGGTCATATAATAAAACGCAAGAACATTACAACCTGACTTGTTATCATGGGGACTTTTCAGTTTGTTCCCTACCATGAAGGGCATTCACAATGAATGTTGGGCCTTCATTCCTAAGGACAATAGCTAACCTGGCACTTTCAGTTTCCTTCATACTTCCTTGCCTGTTCTCATGACATTGCTTGTTCTAGCACAGATGTGCCATCCCAGTTTAAGATTTCAAGAATGTAAAGTAGAAATTAATACCTAAAGAGCATATGTTTAGTTAATAAAAAAAACATAGAGAGAACTTTGGTCACATTTTAAATGGCAAATTTGACCTAACTTACAATAGCACATACTTTGTATGTATTTTTCAAATAGAATGTGCAATTCCAAATATGCTTCAGATAGTTTCCTCTTGGGCTTCTTAAAGTATTTTGGATTTTTCAGATGAAAATTAACAACTAAAGATCCCAAGTTAGTCAGACCAGTTGATTTTAATGTGTATAAACACACACACACACACACACACACACACACACACACACACACACACACACAGAGTAAATAGGTGAAATCCAGAAAAGTGCCTAACAACTAGGTAGGAGCTGTTTGAAGATGCAGTTGGCTTTGTCATTCTCTTGATAGTTTTATAAATACCTGCTCTGAAAAAATTGTCATTACATTAGCCATGTCTTACTGTTCACCTGCTGCAGTCTTTGGACCACAAAGAAAAGGCACTCCCATGAGCCCTGGCTTCTTAGGAGGAAGAAATCGGGATGTCGGTATCATACATGTTCTGTAGCCAGGGAAAGGAAGGATAATATGGACTCCAAAGGGCAGGAAACAATCATTTGATCTCCCTTTTACAATGCTGAGCCTAGAAAGGATGAGTTAAAAATTTGGAAAGAGGGGCTGAGAAATGTAGAGAACTTTTTCATACTTTCTTCATGTTAGGATAAAAAGAATAATGCTCATTAGAAAACTGGTGTCTCAGTGAAACTTGGCAGATTTTTTTCAACAAACTAAAAGGGAAATGATGAACCCATCTCTTTCTAAAAGACCCAGAAAACATTACCAAAATTGAAGGATCTCCATGTCACTAAAACTTTCTGTCTATATAAGCCTATTGTTTCAAAACTTTAATCAGCTATTATCTCAGTTAATGCTATTTTTAAAAATCTTGTTAAATCAGTATTTAGGGGGCTTTGGGTAAGTTGTAATGTATACCACACTTAAGCTTTGTTAAAAGATAATTTTAGAATGATCTACTTTCAGATCCATCAAGAATTATGTCTGGTATCATTACTGGAGTTTGGATTTGCATAATATTTGCATTTGTAATGTCTATTCATCAATCATTCACAGCCATAGGACCATAGGGCAAACATTACTGAAGGATGGACTGCAGGAAGGATTCTCCATGAAACACCACAATATATTTATGAAGTTGAAAAGAAGTATAAATGTCATAGCTTAATGAAAGTTGAAATTCAACTTGGCACTGCATGAGAATAATTATATTAGCAGTTGTCCGTCCCCCCCACTGCCATCACAATTTTGAAATGGCTGTATAAAATAGTTTCCATCTTTAGGAATGCATTCAAAACAAGAACAACTTCCAAGGGACTTAAATAAGTTAGATCCTAAGACACTAGGTAGAAATAGAGAAGGGATTTCATTCTCTTCTATAATGCTTTTACATATGCATTGTGTTAATCAAAATAAAATGTAATGATAAAAATATTATGCTTTGGAACACACCAGTTGGTTGTCCAATACCAAATGATCATCCCTGAAAAGTTATATATGCAAGCAACATTATAGGAATATATATATAGTAATACATGCACACATGTATATATGTATATATATTATCACAACAATAAGTGGAAAAAGAAGCCATGGATTTTTTAAAAATAATGAGAGGTACATGGGAGAGTTAGAGGAAAACATATTTTAAATAATATGCTTGGAAATAAAATAAAACACAGATATAGGGAAAATTACCCACCACTTTGAATAACATTTCTAGTAGTATTTTATTGTGTTTTTATTCCCTTTATCTATTTATGTATATAAGTGGGAGGGGTGTGGATATGTATGTGTGCATACATGTATGGTGGTGTACCTGCCATGGCATGTGAGTGAGGGCTGGAGGACAACTTGTTGAAGTCAGTTCTCTCCTTCCAGCAGGTGGTTTCCATGGACAAAACTCAAGTCATCAGTCTGGGTGTCAAATGCCTTTACCCACTGAAGCTTCCCATTGGTCCTATTGTGCTTTATTAATTTGTTCTAAATCAATGACTTGCAGGACACAGCAAAGACAACACAAGAGTCTAATACTTTAATAAGTATTATTTTTTCTTCTCTTACTATAATCTTCTTTTCCTTCTCATACCAATGACAAGCCTATTAATGTTGAGAACTGTACTTGTCCAAGTTAATTCTGTGGCCGTGGGCATGGAACTACGTTTTCAGTGACTTCTCTAACCTTGCTTTCCTCTTGCCTGCGTTCCTTTGCATGCATGGATGCCTCTTCCCCTGTTCGTCAATTTCTATTCTTCTTTGTTTCAGCAAAACAATTGCAGTCAAGGTAATTGATGATGAGGAGTATGAGAAAAACAAGACCTTCTTCATTGAGATTGGAGAACCCCGCCTGGTGGAGATGAGTGAGAAGAAAGGTGGGGGAGCCGCTCCAGGGCTGAGTCCGACAGCTTCTGCTGGCCTGTGCCTCCCTGGACGCCTGCATTCTTCACCACATGACTTACAATGCACACATGCCTCGGCTATGTAACAGGGCACAGCTCTCACCCCAGCAGCAGTGAGCCAGAGCTGCAGCCACATCAGCCAGTCACGGCCGCTGTGCACCATGCAGGTCTCAAGGGTCATTTTGGGCACAATCAATCAAGCTTCCATAGCTGGGGAAATTGGCACAGATACTATGCAATATCCAAATTCTGTCACCCTAATTGTAACGGAGGAAGAAGCAGGCAGATCTATGCAAGCGATCCGTTAACACAGAAGCCTCAGTGGAGACCAGGGAAGAGCGCCCAAGATGCCCTTTTACATACGCCCGAAGGTCATGTGCTGCTGGTTCTCCCTCCGTAACATCACAACAACATTCAGCTTGGTGGACATCTAGAGCATGAGCGTGTGACTCCAACCATTTGTTTTGCCTTTGTCTTGTGTCCCCACAGGAAGATCATTACCATTAGAATATTTGATCGTGAGGAATATGAGAAAGATTGCAGTTTCTCCCTTGTGCTTGAGGAACCAAAATGGATAAGAAGAGGAATGAAAGGTGTGAGAGTATACAAAGACATACTGGCGAGAAACTGTACTCTTCTCCCTCTCCGTGTCTCCCTACTCTCACACTTAACTCTCTCCTCTTCCTTGGCTTCGAGCACTAAATTCCATTGCCTTTGAAGCTTAGTGGGTTCATCTCCCTTCCCTAATGGGTTCGCCAAGCAATTGCCATTTTCTTTAGGAAGGGCTGACTAACCTTGATTGCAACCAGAATTTGTTATACATTAACAAATACTGGAAGAATTTCTGTAACTCAGAAATGATGAGATAAGAGAAGGTGTTCCACTTTTCTCTGCTTCAGAACCACGTAAGGACATGGCCACAAAGGTTCACTCTGGCATAGTTTGTCGATGAAAGTAAGGAAAAGGGAAGCCACCTAAGAGTCCATAGTAGATGAAGAGTGCATTTATAAGAAATTGCAGAAAAATCAGTCATCAGGTTTCTTAGAGAATCTGGTTTTGGGAGGGTTTTGTTTTGTTTTGTTGTCTTTTTTCTGTTTTTGAGACAGGGGTTCCTGAATTTGAGTCTGAGTTCGGAGCTCACTATGTAGCTGAGGATGACCTAGAACTCTTGATCCCCCTGCCTCTACCTCCAAAGTGCTGAGAGGTGTGTGCCAATCTGTCCAGCCCCAGCTTTTAAAAAGTGATTAATAAGAACAAAGAGCCTTATGACTCTTGCTGTCAGGAAGTTAATGTACTTACTTGGTATTTTCCATATCATCAATTACATCCTTTAGAAGACACCATAAAGCTAGACATGATGGCACACCTCTGTGATTCCAGCACTTGGGAGATCAAAGTAGAAAGACCAAAAGTTCAAGGGCAGCCTGAACTACATTAATAATAATAATAATAATAATAATAATAATAATAAACTCTAACAAATAAGATACCATACATATGAAACCACAGTCATATGTATGAGGTCAGTTTCAGTATCTAAAGGCGTTGTAAACATTTGACCCTGACTTATACTAATCCTAACCATGCTTTAAAATCTTTTGATACTTATAGAATTAAAACAGATTTAATATGAATGGTAACAAGAAAAGCTGAGCAGTGCTATTCTTTTAACTAGATTTTTGAATGACATTTTTGTTAATTCTTTGAGAATTTTATAATTAGATTCTGTTGGTTCTCACTGTTTTAGGAAACATTTGCAAAGAGAAGTCAATTCTGTTTCCTAATTCTTCCCTACTTTATAAGAGGTTCTACTTCACAAGGAAGAAGGAGAATCTTTTTGTAGTTTTTAAATGTAGGGCAAGAAATGTAATGTATCTAGCCAAATCCTTTGTAGACTTGACACAGTCTCCCATTCTGAGAACCCACGGACCTCAGAGACCATCTGAGAAAAAATATTTTTTTCCTAATGTATTTGATTTACGTCCAAAATGGCAACAGGAGTGATGCAGAAAGGAACGCTCAGTACTCATTTTTATACAACTTGTTTAAGAAGAAACAATATTCAGTAAACAGAAAGAAAAGAGACTTCAAAAATGAAATATATATTACAAAGATGGGATCAAAGATGTCTCATTAGCATCCAGGAAGAAGCATTTGCTGCTTACTGTGTTCCTCCAAAGAGCTGTCTTTTATCTCAAGGAGGACCGTCGCCTTGGATGCAGCTCTTTCGATTGTTGTTTTTAATAAAATATGCCCTCATATAGAAACAAATTAAAATTCCTTGATGGTGTTCTCCCATTTCATACCGGCCAAGTGAATTCTTCTCAGTATAAGTAAACTTATTGATTTCAGTTTCCTAGACTCCCTCTACTTCCAAGACCATGGTACAGGGAAAACTGTACTGAAAAGAAGCACTTGTAATATTCCTGTAGACAACCCAGGAGGCCTTTAATTTGAATTGCATATCAAGTTAACTTTCATTAAAATAAAGTGCTGTGGTTCCATTTGTATTTAAAGAATACAATCTGAAAAGCTACGTTATAGACTGGCCCACATTCCTCACCCTGTCAATTTCTCTGGAGCTATATATCCACCAGAAAGTGTTCTGGTTAGCCTGTTAACTTGCAGAAGTTACTGATAAAGACACACAAATAAATATCAATTTAGAGCCTCTTATGATATGGGAATTTAAACAGCACAGGAAATTTTGGGGGTGTCAAAATATCTTCCAAATAAAATATGCAAAAAGAACTCTACCTGAGCTAAAATCTCCTTCCAAGAGGGTTAGCTAATGGATTTTTTCTAGGGTCTTTTTCTTGTTCTCATGGAAAATAGCTGAGGTTTTTAGTCATTAAAGGCTTCCAAGCATTATTAGCTCTCAGACAATATTTATTATTTCCATACCGAGTTAAAGATTACCTTCTCCAATATTCACAGTATATTTTGTAAGTACTATATGTCAACAATTGTGGGAAAAATATCTTACGACATACACAAAGACATATAAGGTGATTTTTTTCAATCACACAGAAATATTTCTGTTAGGGTCAGTTATTTGGAAATGTCCCCAGCAATGCATTCCCTTGGGATGCACATTTTTTACATATAAACAATGGTTTCCCCACTCTATTAAGGACTGCCTGGATTTCTTTCTGCTAATATTCCTCTTTCATTATTCATTTGGTCTCTTATTCTGTGTTTGTCTCTGTCTGTTTCCTTCACAGCCCTGTTATTGAATGAGCTTGGTAAGCATTTCATTTCTTGCATTTCCTTTCCATATTTGTAGGTTATATTCCACTTCTCTGGGATAATACCATAACTATTGATTATTATCTCTATCTGTGGGTTAGCCAGATTTTCATTTAAGTCTATTGGCTTCATTGTAGTTGAAGCCAGATCATTCATATCGCATTTTAAATTTAGTATATAAGCTTTAAAGGGCCAGTGATTCCTCGGGTATCTACAAGAACTACGATTGTGCACTAAATTGCATAATCTTAAGAGATTATGTTCAGTTATGACTGGACTTTTCATGTTCCTCTTAGTTACAAATCTGGCAAGTTTTCATAACTCAGGTGGGCTATCAAGTATCTTACATCACTAGTAATTCTTATTTGTAATATAAATTAAATTATGACATTTCTTTTCTTTTGTTCTTTTTTAGGTGGCTTCACATTGACAGGTATGCATTTTTCAACTCTAATACTACGTAATTATACTTTTACTGTCACTGTCAATATATTACACTTTTAAAAAATATATTTTCTTGTTTTATTTCTTTTTAATTAAGGAAAATGCCTGTATGGTAAGATACTGCCTTTTAAAAGTTCCTGTTTCTGCCCAAATAGCCTAAATACCAAGCCAAATGTAACCTGAATTAATATTTAACTGTGGCCCACACTATCTTCTCATTGATTTTACACATTAGTATGTTTACACATTAACACTTTTACAAATTAACAACAGCCTGTGTGTGTGTGTATCCTATTTATTTGTAAGAAAACTCACAGGGAGAGCCTCTAACTGTTCATATTTTTGATACTAATCTACAGGTGCCCACAGAGCACTGAGAATTTACAGTGTATTCTGATAGATGCTGCTCGGTGCTCCAGTGTAAGGAGTAGAAGATAGCTGGCCTCAGATGGTGGCTATGACAACTACACACTTCGTGGTCAAGGATCATCAGAATCCCCAAAGTAGATAATGCCACATTAGCAGAGGATAAAGATCCAAGGCCTTCTTTGAGTACTTTGCTTTAGTGGTAAAAGCATGGTAACAAGAGCCATTTCTCCTATATGAGGTGCATTACAAAGTGCTACATAAGCATTTAAGATCCAAGTGAGAAAGCTTGAAGCCTTTAATTGCAAAGTTCTAGCATCTCTAAAGCTAGTTCCTTGTGCACAGGTGGAAATCATTCCTCATTGCAGCATCTTTTGACCCTGCATACCTACTCACCTTTTCAGAATAATTTCTGTAGATCTAGAGAGGAAGGTAACTACCCAATAATGACTCTAAATTGTCTGAAGCTGCAGGTTGGAAATGTCTCTGATAACCCACCTCTTAGGTATGACCACTTGTAATACGTTAGCCAAGCACCAAAATATTCTGATGTATCATGCAAATACTAATCCAAGAGCTGGAAAAAAACATTTAGAAGGAAATAGTACCAAAATTTCTAGTCATGAAAATACTGTTGTAGGCATGGGGACTGATGTCAGCCACTATTAGTATTAACTCCAGGACAGTGAATACCAAGGTGATTCTGCCCAGAGTGGACCTTTCTCGATCTGGCAATTCTGTATGGAAGATCTGTAGTTCTATATGGATGGCTGCTCCCAAATCACCTCTAGTCACAGCAGTAAATGACAGAATGACTTGTAGATGCTCAGAAACATAGAAATTAGAAAATCTTAAAATGTTAAACAGGGTAATCTTCTTACAGAAGTCCCTGAATCTGAACCACCCAAGCCTCTCCCAAGTCAGAATGAATATATATATGTATATATATACATATATATATATATATATATATATATATCCTGAGATAACTGACGTCATCTTGAAAATGTCCCAATTGATGAAGAGCTCCCCTTGAGAGAGTTGAAGGTGGTACACAATTGGCATGCCAACCTTCATGGCTTTGTGGATTATCTTTCTAAAGTCAACCACAGTCTCTAGAAAGAGCTTACTATATGGCCATTCCTTTCATTCTATGCAACCTGGTGAGACTTTCCACAGTTTCAGTCCAGAGTAACTTACTAAGAGTGCCTCTATGTCTTTGGCCATCCTGCATTACATATGTGAGGGGAGGGTTACATTTCTAAGGTTTTCTTTCCATGCCACTTGAACCATCCTCCCTTTTAGTACCTCAGTTGGTAGGATCCTCATTTTTCTTTTCTTGTAAATATTTCTCATAAAGTTTCCCATAACCTTTGTGTCAGCATCCCAGGCCTTGACCATTTGTATCCTGTACCTGACAGGATACAATCACATTCTCAGAAAGTTCCTACAATATGAATGGTCCATTGGGTCCCCCTATGGCTGAAACTTAACAAAATTTGAGGTATCTCCATTGTTAACTTCTCCCAATGTAGAAGTCAGTGCAGTTAGAATGGGAGATTATTCCAGGACTCTGCACATTTCTATATCAGCCTAATTGTTACTTAGCTGGATACTGTGAACTTCATATCCTCCTCCCCCCATCAAACCAGAAATCCCTGGGTTCAGTTGCTACCGGCGCATCTAAGAAACTTCTGCAACTTAGGTCTGTACAGTGAACAGCAGCAATAAGGCCGAAAGAGTTCTCTTTGAAATTACATTGGTGCTTTGAAGTCAAGGCTTTGAGGTACAAGGAAGAAGAGAAGAATTAATGTAGCCTTTGGACTTAGCCTGCAGGTTTTACATGAACTCGCAGGGATGATTATAGATGTGGTTTTGGAAATAGTGTATATGGAAACTTAAAAAAATCAGTTTTGTCCACAGCCTCACAACAATACACCATATTTTAGAAACCTTGTTAGTAATAGATGTTGAATTCTGGAGATGCCTTTGAAATTTGCATATCTTCACCTGCTGTTCTAGCCCTTGTGTCTCTGAAAAGCCTATGTTTGAATCTATGATCTCATTCCCCCCTGACCCTATGGTTTTATGATAACATTACAACTCATTAGAGTTTATAATGAATATTATTTTATCACCATTCCTTTGGACTTTATTGTACACAGTTACAAGAAGGAAAAAAAAGGTTTAAAAAGATTGATCTACCCCAAACCATTCATCCAAGACAGTGACCTTTCTGACTCTATGTAAAAGGCCTTTTGGAGATTATCCTACCACTAACCCTGTCATTTGTCTGATCCAATAGTACAATCATTTGTCTGATCCAATAGTACAAGCCATTTCCTTCTCCCTTCATCATTATATTATACATTTAACTCTTTATCAGTCTAAAGTTCAACTACATCTTATAAAAAGCCATCATTATGAATGGTAGTCAAAGGAAGCATAAAGGAAAAATGTCCATAAGGGGAAATTAGAATATGTAGAGGTATTTTTAAATAAAATTCAGTATCCTGGCTATTTGGTTCCCCTAAAACTTTTAAGACATACAGCTATAGTTCTCCCTAAAATTATATGGCACTCAATATATTTCTTAGTGTTGCTCTTCCAATCATTCATTCTGTGGTCTTGTAACAGACTTAAGGTGCATGTCGATTTTAATGGGCCAAACTCTGAGAATCCTGACACTTGAGAACACTTCCACCACACCAGTGTATGAGTTAGAGGAGCAAAGCCCCTCCATCAAAGTTTGCCTTATTTTACAACTGAGAAAACTGCATCTCCAAGAGGTGAAACTTCTTGTCTACATTTAAGCAGAAAACAAGTGGCAGAGAGCTGCCCCTGAGTCCAAGTCTCAAGATTCTCAGTTTAATTCTCAGTATATCTTTGTAGACAAAAACAGCAGGTGGACCTGGCAGCCACCTGAATGAGAAGTTCAATGAAATCCTAAGTCCTGGTTAATGGAAACTGTTGGCTGATAATGACTTGTCCTTATTCCATGGAAGCATATATGACACTTTCTAGTCTGCACAGGAAATGGATGTAGTGAGCACCTTCACAAGGCTTTTATATTCCCTGACCTTCAAAGAAACCTGTGATATAAATGGAGTAGATGTGACCTGCATTTTATATGTGAAAAATAGAGAAGAGAGCCTACTAAGGGCTGTACAGATGCCACTAATAGGCTTCAAAAATTAGCACACATGTCATTACACCAAGTGCTTTCTGTTGTTTTATGATGCCTCTGGAATCAGTAATTGAAGGACCTGGCTCATCCATTTCAAACACTTGCTAGACTGATTCTACCTCTTACCACAAGGAAAGAGGTTCATTATCTCATCCATCAAACTTAATCAAGCATGATTTGGTTTGGCTTATGGAACATTTGCCCCCATTTGTGGGTGGTAATCTCTATGGGTAACCACCAGAACTCCTCCTTGTGGCCTACAGGGGGTGACCTACAACCACCAACACTAACATGGCTTACAGTGTGTGCATTTGGGTGCTGTTTTTAGCTTACTAACTTCAAAATCCACTGAGAGCAAAGCAATGTGATCCATCCTGCTGATTTTCTGCCTGTCCTTTTGCTAGGCCAACCTGTCTTCAGGAAGGTTCATGCTAGAGACCATCCGCTTCCCTCCACTGTAATCAGCATTTCAGGTACTCGTTTCCCTGTGGCTTTTGAAATCCACAGCCTTCAGGTATACTCCTTATTAGAACCATAGATGTCAGTCCCTGGGCCTTCCAAAATTTTGCTGATTGACAAATGACTTCTCTGAGAGCTGGGATCCTGTGAATGATTAAAACCCGAAAGCAGCATGGAGAGAGAATATGGACCTACCCAGAGGCTGCTCCAATTCCTTCTTTATCCCAGAGTTCTGTGTGTTTTAGATTTCTTACAAATATCTCTTTTACATGTGAACTTTTCATCTAGTGTAAAGTAATTCTTAAAAAAAATTGCAAAACCAAGACAATTGTGTTTCCTTTCTTGGTGTACAAGGAAACAAAGAAATGTTGGCAGGGCAACCCTAGCATCACACCGCTCTCCTGGTTATACTGTGGGGTTTTACAGCTTACTAGTCAGCTCCTAGAAGGGAGTGTGTAGCTGAGAACAGCAGCACCTCCTCCTTCAGTCTTTACTGCTGCCCCTCACTGATCTCAGTGGTGGAAGTACTTCTGCCCAACCCTATGGGTCCCCCTCAGCCTCACAAATCATACCTCCACCCAACAGTCATAATTCTAAGCTCCAACTACACATTTTTCTCACAGTACTCTCCAAGAGACTAAAAATACAAATCTTCCTGGGTTCTAATCTGAGAGGCCAGCTGGAGCTGAAACATTGTCAAGTGTCCTGTGTTTGCAGGCTTGTAGTTCTGAACAAAGTGTCAAAATAACCCTGAGGAGATTTTCCTGCCACTGGCCTTTCCCCCACTTTCTAAGATCTATTTCGTTTCTTGGGATTAAAACAAATACAAATACAAAAACCAAAAAAAAAAGAAAAGAAAGCAAGCAAGCAATACAGAACTCTGTGTTGAACCAGCCATGTGGGTGACAAGGTCCTCTGAAAGTGATGACCCCCTCTTACCCCTTCATCACCATGATGCTGTTTCAAGATCTGGCTTCAAGCAGGAACCATTGGAAGCAGCTTTACATAATTCATCTGTTTCCAGAACTCAGACACCTAAAGCAAATGCTTTTTATTGTTTTTTATAAAAGCCGATCACTATAATGAACACAGAGTGCACTCTGGTGATTTTATCCTAGAGATTCTCTGTGTCCTCACCACACTGGCTTTTAACCATGGTTGCTGATAGTGCACAGGGTCTCTACATTGTTGTGGTGAGTCAAGATTATAACATTGTATATCCTATATACAGTGGTCAAGATTGCAACATTGTATATCCTATATGCACAGGTCAATACTGTAGCATTGTATATCCTATATACAATATCACAATTAAACTGGTGAGCTTTACAAGTATGTGTATGTACATAAAAAGACAGTCAATGAGACCCAGAGTTGGGCATAGAGAAAATTAATTTGCTCTAAGAAGTAGAGTCAAAACTCCATCATGCTCTCACTAGTCATAAATAAGTCATGAATAATGCAATAAAGTGACCTAGGGTACAGTAAAATAATCAGTTTTGATCTATTTGTTTGCAGAGAGAAAGAAACAAAGTAATTGATTCTGAAAATAGTGTTGAATCATTTTCCTATTTAATAAAAGGTACACCTAAGGAGAACACTAAGGAGGAAAAAGATTCAACTTTATTCATCAAAACCCTACATTGTAACCACTAATATATCAGTACCACTGTAGACCAGCCATAGCCATAAGATTTATCCACTTGTCACTTCTCAAGTACAAATAACTATGTCTCTTAGATTTACATATACTCACCAAATGAAAATAGCCCTCACTTTTCCCTGATACTGTGTCCACCATACCTGAATTATGACCACTCATTTCCATATCTCCTAGTCATCCTCACCATCATATTCACCGAGCAAGGTCCTCTACATGCTTCAAAGATAGTTTCAAGTGAATTCTATGTTCTGATGCTTTCCAAGACTCCCATAGGCAGAACATTCTTCCCACACCAGTCCTTCAGTCACCTCACACTGATTCTGGTTTTGCACTCATGTGCCTCTTTTCCCACTACACCAGAAATTTCTGGAAGATAGCTGAAGAAAGAGGAGGACTGTATCTGTACTGGCATATTCTAAGAGGACAATACCATGTTCTTAAATGATGGATGGTCCTATTTAAAAAAAAGAGCAGCTAAAAAGTATTACTAATGGTAACTTGGAAAATCTCATAACAAATACTTGAGTAATGTTTTCACATTCCATACCTTGTACTAGACATAGGTAAAGATAGGCCAATGAGTTCTGAGACATACCGTAGCTTTCTAAGTCTACAGACTGGGTATTTGTATGTAAAGATAATTTAAAATAACTCAGAAGCCATGTGAAACTGTTTATGATAAATATTAAGGAACTGAATGATATTTACTAAATTCTAGTTGTCAGTTGGTATACAAAAGGAAGAAGAACCTTTAATATAGCTAAATGAAGGTGTAGGAACATTTCTGGGTGATTGCATGATGGGTAAACCCATGCTTTAGAATAAGAGCATAGCAAGATGTAGAAACATGTTCACTAGCATTTATTTATGTTTAAATCAATACTGTTAAAATGAGATATCCACACTTCAGCTTCTGAAGACATTTTTTAAGATTAAATACTAATTAAATTATAATTTACATACTGGGATTTTAATTACCTTTTTAAATTAATTTTTTTTAAACTGGTAAGATTTTTCCATAAGAAGAAAATAAGTTGGGTTTTTTTTACAATGAAAAGAAGGGCACTAAATTCTGACTAGTCAAGTATTCTATGCCTATAAACTACTTGATCCTAAATGAAAGAATGCCAGATACTGGGAAGCAGTTATAGACCCTACCTGGGTGCATCAGACTATGTACTTGTTTCTGACCAGAAAGACTGAAGGATTATGGGGGGGGACACTTTTTCACTCATAGGATGATTTGGTTTCATTTACTGTCATGACCATGTATCTGACACCATGTTCCAGATCCATTTCATCCTGTGAGATGTTTCCCTGAACAATCCCATTTCCTCTCAAACCACTCTCTGTTTTCTACCTAAACTAACTCGAGTCCCATTCCAAATAAACTTCTATGTTAAAATCACATATGATGGCCACAATAAATATTCTCCCACACTTAGCTTTGCATTTCAGATAGGTATCTAAGAGGCAACATTTCTCCTGGGGGAAGTCATTATTATTCATTGAATGTCAGAGATTTGGACAAAGACACAAAATCAACCTGAATGACCAGTGACATTTCCATTGTCCCAAAGATCAGAGAGCAATGAGAACAAAGCGATGATTGATTTGAACCCTAGGTAAATGAACTTCACACATGTCCACCCACCCCATTGACTAGAACACATGATTTCAGGACAATTGTGGAGACTAACCCTTGCCTCTCCTTGATTTACAACTTCCCAATCCTTATACAAAATCCCTTACCACCCTTTCAGTTAGTCTCCTTTTCTTTCTGCTTTGCTTTTGTTCATTTTCAACAGCTTCGCAACAGACCAAATAACCCATTTTTGTTTTCCTTTGATTTGGTGGAGTTACAGACCACTCGAGATTTAAAATGTATTGCTTTAGAATACATTATTAAATGCATGCTAAAAAGTGTGTCAGCAGCTGCATTCTGGTTTTGCCTTCCATTACTTCTGATGAATGAAATCGAAGGTACTAGCCATGTTTCCAGCACCTCTATCGCCCAACCCCAGTCCTCACAGTAGCCAAAACACCATCTCTTGAAACAATTGCTAGATCAAAAAATAGAACCAACTATAGCAGGGTCCCAGAGCAGAGAAGAAGCTACAGCTCTTTGCAGGAAATAGAAGGTATGAGCCCCTGCTAAAGCTGATGTCTAAATGCAAAAGGCAGGTCAGGAAGGCTGAACAAAAAGGTCAGTCCTTCTCAGCCTGAATGACTCAGACAACAGACTCCACTTACAGGCAGTTGGCCAGATATCCTGGAGGTGAGGGCCATGGAATGGAGGTTTTTCCATAGCAACACCACTGTCTCCCTGGATATAAGTGCTTTGCTTGGCTCAGAGGAAGTAGCCTATCATTTCCCAGCATCCTGGACCTAAAGGACAAGGGTAATTGCAGGACAAGTGTTTGCCCTCCACATATGCTTGGTCTTTTCAGTCTGGGATTTATCCCAATGACCTCCATAAAGAGAGAGACCACTTTGTGATCTCCTCCTCATCTATAGACTTATTTCTAAGCACCCTTCACCCCTACCTCTCCTAGAATGAGAGCTACTTGGTGGTTCTGGAAACAATCATGCTCACACAGAGAATATTAGCTCCCCAAAGGCCTCACCCTCGCCCTCTATGTTTGCTTTAAGATTAACATGGTCAAGGCTTTCCTAATACATTTCTCCTCTGCACCAGAGAGGATGTACTTGGGGCCCAGCCATCTCAGGGAAACATAAAATGGAAGTTTTGGAGCTGAATCTGTGAGAGGGACTCTTGGCAAGTGTGAAGCTAAGGTCAAAATTTACCTTCTGTGTCTTTTTGCCCCTCTTAGGCATTTTCTGATGCCCCTGGAAAAGGGAAAGGAGAAGACCAAATTCTCACATCCCTCAGGGTTACTTTAAGACTTCTGATTGCATTTCCCTTTGGTCACATGCTGGAAAAAATATGTGGAGACCATTAAACTGGCCAGCTTCTCGTAGAACAGCTGGATGATTCCCTCAGCACAGACCATGTGCAGAGGGTCTTCTGCGGTGACATGACCTGAACATGCCTTTTCCTCATCCGTGCTTTTACATGAGATGGGACTGTACTGTATCCCCATCATCTGCTGCTTCTATGTGGCATTACCCTGTCAGCCAAGCCCTGTCCTCTTCTCCCCTCAGACTCACTATCTCACCCAAGAGACTTTTAATCAGTCCATAGGGCATCCTTCCTCCCTGCTTTTCTTAAAGCAGGATCCTGGGACTTGTATATATGAAGGAACACTGTTCACACTCTTACCTTCCCTTTCCCAGACGAGTATGATGACAAGCAGCCACTGACTAGCAAAGAGGAGGAGGAGAGGCGCATTGCAGAAATGGGGCGCCCCATCCTGGGAGAGCACACCAAGCTGGAGGTGATCATTGAAGAGTCTTACGAATTCAAGGTATGTCTGTCAACACTGCCTGACCCATCGGCTTGCTCAAGTTGGTTCGGTGTGGTCTGTGCTATAAGAGCCTTCTACAGACACTGGAAATTGCGACTTCATGTGCAAGCTCATTCACTAAAAGGCGGTCAGATTCAATTTGAAATTGTGGAGTTAGCAGAGAACCAAGAAATCCTATACAGTAAACAGCATCAGAACCAGACTCCAGCAGGTGATGTACACCATGACAGAGTCAGAACTGTACCCAGACAGAAGTGCTTCACCTGAAAGGAGACTCCAAAAGCAGATTTTGAGAGATTCTGTACATTAGAAAAAGTCTGATGAGTCTATTAGAAGCCAAGCATTTGCCATGTGAATATTCGAAGGCCATGGTTTGGGAGAATGGTTATTTATATCTAAGCTATTCAGATCTGAGAACTGTTTAGCACTGCCTGCCAAAGATGCAGTGTCTGCAACTATACAGTTTACCCATGAGCTGGTAAAATTGGATTTACTACTTTCTTATTTTTCTTTCTTTTGTGTGTGTGTTAGTTGGCATTAAACCCAGGGATTCTCATATGTCAGGAAAGTACTGTACCACTGAGCTACATCCTAAGCCCAGATTTAAAGTTTCCCCAGTAATAGAAGTCATTCTTTTATAAGTTAGATACACAGAGATGAGCTTCAGACTTGAGGATGAAACTTCCAATTTGTCTCTCCTAGCCCATTTCTCTCCTCCAATCCTCTCCACCCATTCCTCCTCCCTCGCCTTCAAACGCACAGCACTTCTTAGCCAGACCCTTAGTCTCTAAAGATACTTAAGATGGAGCCAACTTCAGTTGTACAATGGGATAAGAGCCTATCCCTTCTTGTAAAACCCAGGATTGCAAACCCAGAGCAGAGCATTATTTTCTTTACTTGCTTTTCAAAAGGAGATGATGCTTATTCAAACAACCAAAGAAAAATACAGAAGCCTCAGAATCCTATGTGGATCTTTAGTAATAGTTGCCTCTTTTCCTTTTGTTGGTTCATTAAATCTAATCCCCAAACTGACATACCAGATTGGTTGTATGTTAAAAAGTGTCTTTGCAATTAAATTAGAATTTAAAAAGATAATAACACATTTAAACCTTCTCCAGGTCACTAAGTATCTATCTATTAGAGCTTTTTTCCAACTCACACCCATAGAAAGAGAGGTAAACACTGGAATGAAGATTCCGGGATTGATCCCACCGTCAGAGCCCATCACAACATAGCCTTGAGCCTGGCTCATTGAGCACATGAAGGGAGCATGCATAAGTTCATGTAATCTCCCCTGCATCTCAGCCTGTCCATTTCTACTGCCCACTCTGTTACTCTGGGTCCATGTGCTTCCAGCTTCACATTTCCTCCTGCAACTCTTTTTTTCAGTGGGAATCAAAGGGTTCAGTGTCAGCTACCACAACAGAGACTGCCCTTCTTGTAGAGAATATGCACTCTTTACCTTAGAGGATGCCCAGGCTTGCTTTCCCATGCACCTGCTGTGGAAAGAGCAGTGGTAGTAGCTTCTTCCGAAAGGACTCTTCCTAGACAAAAGAAAAAGTTTTGGTCACACACAGCCCTCTCTTGTAAGCTACCACAATCTAGAACTGGAAAGCCTCCCTAGAATCCAGATTCCTTACATAACTTCATTTGCCTGGTTTTTTTTTTTTGACTTTCTGGAATAACTTTGAGTCTCTCCCTCAAGTTTACAAACACAATCATATCATTGTTAGCCTTAACACCAAGATATCTTGGGGGCACACTTTCCAAGTGCAGTATCAACATCTTTGACTTTCTTCATTTAGGAATTGTGTTCTTCTAGAATGTAACTTGCATACTCGTTCAGAGCTCTAGAACAGCGTGAGCTAGATGGCACATGTCCCCCCTGACTTCTCACCTGTCATGCTAAGAGTGTGTCTTTACTAATGTCCACTGTCAAGGGTGAGGTGTTCATAATGTCTGGAATGTCACTAACCATTTAAGAACTCTCCAGATGAATACAGAAAATATTGCCTGAACTTTAATCCATCTTGATTCACTCTTCTTTCTCAAATAAATGAAGGATCCAAACCACACAGGTACAACGTTAGCCCTTGGAAAAAAAATTGGCTCTGCCCCTCTGGTTAAATTTTCTACATTTTAATATATACCTGTGTTTTTCCACATCAATAAAGGGTAAGTTTAGTTCCTCTTAAAAGTTTGATCTTTAGCATCATTTGAGGGGGAAGTCTGTGTTGAGCTGCTGGAGCCATGTTCAACTGCTTATCTCTTGGTTGAGGAGGTTCTCTGCCCTGGCTGCAACACAGTGTGTTCTGTCCTCTTTGGAGAGATATGCCTCAAGTTTCCACTCCGTGTAGAAAAAAACCGAGGTCATTTCTTCTTACATTCCACACCACGCTTTGAATTGGCATTTGCCAAGATGCATAGAGTACTGGGTGAGATGTGGCTGGGTTGAGAGAGGAAAGACAGATGCCTGTTGTGTGTTCCAATTTATCATGCCCAACAGCGGTGACTGTTAGAACTGTTATCAAGGACACTAACTAGCAGGTCTGGATCCAGGCAAGAAGCTGAGCAGTCACCACCCCCTATCCAAGGACATACCAGCTGACCAAGAATAATGTTGCAGATACAGAGTGAGCTAGCTGGACATGGATTCTTTCATGTTTGTTTTCTTTCCAATGACTCATTTTGAACTAACATGCTTGCTATCATAAATTGCCTTTGACCTCTCATACAAACCCTCAGATACTATTTTCTTAACTCCTGCTCAGCCATGATTGTTATCTCTCTCAAACCATGGTGTAATATCCTGCATTGAACAAGTACAAGTCGTTACCCAAGGCAAATAATGTGTGTTTTCTGCCTCTTTGTGATTAGTGGAAATTGGAAGATGCTCTGACAGTAAGTGTGGGTGTGTGGTAGACTAGTCGGTGCTGTAGTTTCTCTGGGAGGATCAGCCTCGGTGCCCTGGAAATGTCCCTTCTCCCTGTAGTTGCTATAATTTGTGGTAACGCTTTGACTGTGTGGCTCACTTAGTTTTCCTGTGACCGCTTGGCAAATCCTGTTGTTTTATTAAGCAAATTTAGAAAGTTGCAGGGTGCTCATTGTATTAAACTAATTGCCTAATAAGATCTAAAGTAAAAGAAAGGCCATGTACCTCGGTGCTATTAAAGTATGGAAATGTGATGCAAGGTTATTAGCACTGCACCCCAAGTCACAGGTGTTGACTTTTGCTTGTCTAATGTATTCCTGATGTAATAGCAGTAGAGAGAGAATACAATTGCCTTAATATTAGCAGTCTGAAAAATTTAGTGTCTTCTCTGCTCCCCACACCCTCGCCACGAAATTATCTATTTGCTGACAATCATGCAGCAAGCAGCCTACTTGAAACCCTGCTACCTGGCTTCATTTTACTGATGAAAATATAGCAATATGCCTTCTGATTTAGATCTGTCCCTTTCAGGTGTTCACAGACACTAAATACTGAACAGGGCCAATATTGATTCACTTACAGACAGCATGCGACAGACAAGCCAAAGAGAATCAAGTTCACATTGCAGTTGAGGGGTGCCAGTGGCCTTTCAGACAGCTGCTGTTGCAAACAATGTAGTTCCTCCTGATTAGCCATTAGCTCTAAAGGAGGCTAGACTTCTTTGTGAGGAAGTTTCCATTTCAGAATATTTCTTAGGAGCACAATTGTTTGCATAATCCTAACATTGTTTGATGTGGATAACTTTCTTCTGAGCTTGACATCTGCTACCCCTTTATAGAACCCTGAGGCTTCCAAACAAGGTTTTAGATTTCCCGAGGCCTTCACAACCCCAGAAGTTATTATCTTATCCCTTTGGCCCTTTCTAGAGCACTGTGGACAAACTCATTAAGAAGACAAACCTGGCCCTTGTGGTGGGAACAAACAGCTGGAGGGAACAGTTCATCGAAGCCATCACTGTCAGCGCTGGTGAGTGCCTGTACCCTGTGAGGAGGTGGAATGGCCAGTCTTGGCTGAGTTTTCCTGTTCTGCCACTGGCAAACACCACATGGGGCAAAATTAAGAGAAATGAGCATATCTGTTGCCTGTATCCATTTATCATCCTCTTGGAGGGTAGACAAGATGAAGTTGAACCCATTTGTGTCTTAATTTGTTGTTTAACCAATCGTGGGGTTTTTGTCTGGTTCTCTGGAAAGCAGTACACATTGGCCAAATAAAGGTCAAAAGGGAGCAAATTCGGGGGAAGAAAAGGAAGACATGAAGATATTTTCATCACTGTTTGCATCATTTTACAACCCTTCCAGGGCACTGAACATCTTAAGCATTTGCACCGGCTCTGAGGTACAAACTGAGGCACATTTTGATTCTGCCTCTACAAGGAAAGTGCAGGGTTTTCTTTAAGAATATCCTGCAAAATGGACCTGAGGACATGAAGTAAAAAAAGGGCAGCACTTCCTTTGCTGTCAAGCCTTGTCCACTCTCCTGTATGAAGGGACAGAGGGAGTCACTGACAGTCTGAAAGAACACTACCTTGCATTTTTGCCTTCTTTTATGGGTCTTTACTCCACGTACACTAGTCCCTTCTCCCAAATACACACAGGCTTATCACACACACTGCAGCCGCTCGGCAGAGCTAGGGGTTTCTAAGCATCGAGTGATTCCCTAACTGTAAATTATGGCAACAGCATCATCACTAGCAGTTAGGCTGTGGCTTCTGTCACAGCCCCCAGCTTTCCAATCTGCCACAGAACACTTGGACAGCTCTCCCAAGTGCTGTGGGAACAGAGAGTGGTTTAGAAAAACATAGTGTAGCTGTTTATTATTAGTGCTGTGGTTTCTTGCAGTCAAGTATACAATGGGAATTTATGAGCACTAAAAAGCAGATTACTGTTTGGAAGTGGATTTAAAATTTACATGTCAATGGTAATAGAAGGAGAGGGAAATACCCCCTGTTTGGCTTATGTTTTTCCATAAATCTAAGATGAGCATCAGAGACAGGAGCATACTTCCCTCTGCACAGAAGAACTGAGCAGAAACTAACACTGATGACATACTAGGAAGTATCAGAAATGTCCAAATTATTGCAGAGCTTTGAGGCACTCAGACTGCAACATGAAGAACAACATAACACTATGTTGAGGCATTTACAATAGATTCTGGGTCTCCTTCTGTTGTGAATATATATACATTTGTGTGATAGCTCTGTGCTGGTTACCTGTTCATGGAATGTCTGTGTCCATCATTGCTCTTGTAGGGGCAAACGGAATAGACAGCTCTACTCCTGCTCAAATTCTAGTATAGAAGATTATTTTTCTAATAGAGGAGAGAGCAAGAAAGACACATAGTTCACGTGCATCTGATCACAAGCTTTGGATAGAGAACACTGAGGCTATGGAGAGAGACAGGGAGTTTTGCACGTGACCAATATGATTCTATCAATAGAACATTTAAGGGAAGGTTTGCTTTCCTAGCAACAGAGTGGCTTCATGTTCTTACACATTTTAGTAACTTTTAGAAAGTGTGCCAAATACCTCAAGACTGCTCTAAGCCAATGACACAGCGCAGTGCTAAACAGTGAGGGAGATTATGCAATGGATAATGCCAAAGCCAAGCATCTGATGCTCAGGTATGCAGCGAAACAAGTATAAAGACGTTGGTACTTCCTTCATTAAAAGACCTGGAATTGCGATTGTAGACACTGAAGAAATCCTTTCAGATTGCCATGTAGCACTTTTCAGTTGTCTTTTCTGTGTAGATGGGAGAATCTACATAGTTCCAGTAAAACAGCTCAGCTCTAGAAGTGTGTGTGTGCATATTTAAAGGTCAAAGGTCCATGCCTAATGCCTTCCTTCATTCCCCTCCACCTTAGTTTTTGAAGTAAGGTCTCTCACTAGACCTCCATGGAGCTCAGTGATTCAGCTAGCCTAGCAAACCCCTAGGATGCTTCTGTCTCTGTCCCCCTGGTGCCATTATTACCAGCACACACCACCATTCCCAGATTTGTATGTGGGAGCTGTGTATTGAACTCTGATCCTCTCACTTGCCCACTCAGTGCTTTTCAGTTGACCCATCTCCTCAGCATTTATCTTGAGCTATAATCTGCTGAAAAGGACTCCATATGGTAGGGACTGTCATTAAGAGATAAAGAAATTTCAGTGTAACGAAAATTGCGACCACCCTGTTATATCCCTAGCCTTAATATTTTAAACTCTGAGGCAGTATCTTAATAACTTGCCCAACCCTAGCCTTAAACTCACTCTGTAGCCTGAGGCTTTGCATCCTTTCAAGTATATTTCAGATTTGTGACAACTCACCCAGCTCCAAAACTTTTGAAAAATAATCAATGACATGCAAAACCTCCCAAGCATATAGGTGATTTATATGTGTATAAGTATATTATTCCTGTGTGTGTGTGTGTGTGTGTGTGTGTGTGTGTGCTTCTAGATGACTGCTTAGAAATAGACAATGTTTAGAAACTTGCCTTTTCCTGGGTTAATTGACCTTATTTAAAATTTTGAGATAAAGAAGATCTGAAAAAATAAACACATAGTTTGTAGGCACTAAATTACATTAAAGTACATGAAAGACAGTTTTCAAAGTGCAATGTTTGTAATTATAACTGAATTTAAGTGCCCAGGGAATGTTAATATTCTCAGGTTGTAAAACATACAATAAAATTTGTAAAGCAGCTTTATTGAAGGCAGACTTTCATTGGATTTTTAAGATTTCATGGCTAAATAGTTGAGAATCAGAAAGATTTTCCTTATTAAAAATATTAAATTGTCTTTGAAGGGCTCTGCTGAGAGCCTGTTTTCCCAAGCAATTTTCTGTGCAAAATTGAATCTGTGTGTCTTGCTAAACAAAAGTGATAATTTTGTAAATGGGATTTGGCTTCTCTCTGGTTTTTTATTATTATTATTATTAACTATATCAAAACTCCTTTCAAAGTAACTAGCTGATAATGTTCTACTCACTTTGCCTGAGCTGCACAGACCAGTACCTGGGCTTCCTCTGGCCATAATATGTCTAATCACCAAGTTCTGACAATTGAATATTTGAAGAAATGAAGGACTTAAGAGACTCTGGAGATTGGGAAGGGATTAGATAGTCATGTTCCAGCAAGTCTCCTTCTGATACTTTCTGGTAGAAAACCAGAAGCAGTCTTGTGCAGCAGCTAAAAGACTGCCAAAACATTTTGAGGCAAGCTCAATTCCACCAGGTGCTTTTACGGATGTGTCCACACATGCACTTCTCAATGCAGCTAGCACTTGCTGCCTATCCAATTAGAGTCCCTGCCCCAATTCTTCTGTCTTCCTTACGCTTCCCCCACCCAGAGCAGCACTTTGGGTTGACCTTAAGAATCAAGTGTCAGTCCAGTATGGGGGATTATCAGCATACAGGGCAAATATAACCTGGGTATGGACCACTAGGATGCTCATGTCATTCATCACTTTAGCCTCTGGCTAAGGAAGCATGTGGGAAGTCAGAGTGAGGCCAGCCTTGCAGACAGATAGGGGTTGTGACTCTGCCCTTCAAAAACTTCTGGGGTGACTCAGCAGATTATTTCACGTGCCCACATGCACACCCATCCCTGTTCCCTCCTATGTAAAGTGGAGAAAGGTGTACCTAATTCATAAACTCACCACAGTGTTAGTTGTGACAATGCCCACTTTCAGGTCTAAATGTGGGCAAAACTGGATATGTGGGAAGTTATATATAATATATATATGGTTCTAAAAGAAAATACAGCAAAGCTTTTTTACATGCACAGTAGTTCAACTTAATGCTAGTATGAAGATGGCTGAAAACCTATCAGTTGGCCTTTTGGTTTCATGGGAGTACTGAGCATGACGTTTTATATACAAGAATATTGAGATCTGAAAAATGTTGTAACTCACTCAAGAAGCAGACTGGCAAGGGGCAGTGCTGAATTATAGGTCAGCTAAGGAGGCTCTTCATTGTGAAGTATGAACTCTCTGGTAGTGCCTGGGGCCTGATTGCATATACACAAAAATATACCCATGCACAAGGAAACACATAGAACGTGTGTATATGTGCAGATGTGCAGACAATAAGTGCATACCCTCAAACACACATAAATAAACAAAAGCCTACCTACCAGTACATACAAACATGTGAATCCAAGCACAGACAGACATCACAGGCATACACAGACACACGGAGACATGCAGACATATACAGACACACACACTCACACACGCAGGCATACACAGACAACAGAGATGCAGGCATATACACACACACAGAGAGATGCAGGTATATAAAGAAACACAGAGATACAGGCATACACAGACACAGGTATACACAATACCCCCATACAGTGGAACATGTGGCACCATCTGGGTATTGGAACCACAGCTTGAAGTAGAAAGTGTTTTCCACAATACTTGTCTCTTTACAATCTAGTTCACAGCTCCTTGGGGATGATGCTTGTCAGTTCCCAAAAGATTGGAGGGAAGCATTTGTTTTCCTACTCATGCCCATGGGCTTCTACTGCCTGATAATCTGTGACCTTTTTTTTAAGAAGTGCAACCCATTAGCCTTTATTTCACTGATAACTTTAAAAAGCCAAAAGTAAGGAGTTTTCTGAAATCCTTTTTTAACACTATTTTTGTGTATCTTACATAGCACCTACTGGCATTTCACAATGAAAAGAAATACCTACACACATATACACACTCAACACACATACACACACACAGAGAGAGAGAAAGAGAGAGAGAAATAGATGGATAGATAGAGAGAGAGAGAGAGAGAGAGAGAGAGAGAGAGAGAGAGAGAGAGAGAGAGACATCTTAAGCCTGTGGGCATATCCTTGACCAAGTATATAATTATTTTTCTGACTTTGAGTCTCACCAGTAGAGGAATGAAAGGACAAGGTGAGATTTAGGGCAATGAAAAAGCACACCCGGCCCACCCACTTGGCTTGCCCATATTGTACTTCAGAA